CTACTTACCAGCCTCATCCCCGCCTCCTTGACCTGTCCGTCTTCCCTCGACTGACCAATCCCCACCTACACTCACCTTTACTGGCTCCATCCCCGCCTCCTTGACCTGTCCGTCTTCTCTCCACCTATCTGCTCCTTTATCCATCTTCCATCCACCTCCCCCTCTCTATCTATTTCAGAATCCCCTTCCCCTCTCCCATTTCTGAAGAAGGGTCCAGACCCGAAACATCAGCTTTCCTGCTCCTCTGATGCTGTTTGGCCTGCTGTGTTCATCCAGCTCTACACCTTGTTATCTCTATGTCGAAAGGATGTTTCCTCTTGTGAGAATATAGAACTCAAGGTCACCGTTTCAATATTAAGGGCTTGCCCATTTGAACAGATTAGCAGATTTGTTTTGTTCCCTCACAGAGGCACGAGTCTTTGGAGGTTTTCTCCAAAAAGATTACAAGCACAGTCCTTCAAAGTTTTTAAGGCCAAGGAAGATAGATTATTGATAAGCTACAGAGCAAGGTTATCAGGGGTAGGCAGAAACTATGTGAAAGGCACAAAGGGCACAACACTCTTGAACTGCATTCAACGGAATGTTTTTAAATAGCATGCAGCATACTCCATAAGGTGCAAGTCTTAGGAAATGAAGCAGGCAAGTGGTTGAAATAGCAGCGGGTGACCACTTATGATCTCTATCTCCAAAGAGAGATTTTGCATCATCATGGTAAGGGACAAACAAAGAACAGAGGTGAATAAGTTTTAATTGGAAGAAGGCAAATTTTACAAAACTGAGATGATCTAACAAAAGTGGACTAGATATGTCTACCTGGAGGTAAGCCTGTGCAAATCAATAGGAGGTATTCCAAAGTAAGATTGTGGGCATGGTGAAAGAACAGAAGAAACACAAGAAAAAGGAGCAAGGATACATTGTTCAGCCCCTCTGCCATTCAATAAGATTATGGCTGATCTGACAGAGGCCTCAACTCCTCTTCGTGCCAGCTCCTTATAGCCCTCAACTCCCCAAATTTACAAAAACAAACACTATCTACCACTTCTGTGAAAAACTTTTAGTGATCGACTTTACACAACCTCCACAAAAAAAATTGTGATTCTGCCAAATCTAGAGTCTCCTGGTTATCCAGAAGCATGCAAGATAAAGCAGAAAGAGACAGCTTTGACAATCTCAAAGGAAGTTCAATTTTAGGAGGCTTAGAGGAGCTCTGAATATATAGCGGTGAGGTGAAAAACAAAGTTAGGAAAGCAATGAGAATATGAAAAAAATATTGGCTGGTAAAATTAAGGAAAATCCAAAGATGTGGTAGCAGTAAATTAAGAGTAAGAGGATGACCAAAAAAAGGTTAGGGCCCACCAAAGAAAGGTTAGGGCCTACTAAAGGCATAAATGGTAACTTGTGTGTGGATATAGATGTAGGCAGGATTCTAAATGAGTACTTGGTCTTTATTCACAAAGGACAGGAATGATCAGACATTCTAATTAAACAGAACCGGTAAGTGTTAGGAAAAAATAAGCATAATGTGAAGGTAAGTACTAGAGGGACTGACTTCCTTGAAGATGGACAGATTACCGGAACCAGATGAATTGCATCCGAGGCTATTAAATTAACCCAGGAAGCAAAAAGTGGGTGCTGAACTTTGTCTTTTCCCCCAGTACTCATTAATTAGGCAAAGTATCAAAGGTTTGAAGGTTTGTGAACATTATACAATTATTCAGAAAAGGTGTGAGAGACAGGCCAAATAATTATAAGCCAGTCAGTCTGACTTCAGTGGGAGGCAAATTTCTAGAATCAATACTGACAGACTTACTTAGAAAGGCACAGAATATTCAAGGATAATCAGCACGGTTTAGTTAAGGGAAGATCGTTTCTTACAACCCAATTTAAATTTCTGAGGAAATAACAAGGAGAATTGATGAGGGTAGTGCAGTGGATATTGCCTACATGGATTTTAGTAATAGATATAAGATCCCACATGGCAGACAGGTCAAAAAGAATTAAAGTCCATGGGATACAGCGGAATGCAGAGAGCTGGATCAAAATTGGCTCTGTGACAGGAAACAATGGATAGTTTTGTGAATTGAAAGATTTTCAGTGGTTTTCCGTAGAGCTCAGATTAAGGTCACATGCTATCTGTGGCATTTATTAATGATGTATACTTAAAATGTAGGAGGCATGATTAGGAAATCTGACAACACAAAAATAAAACACCCAGGTAGTTGACAGCGAAAAGTAATGGCTGCCAACTGCAGGATGATATCAATGGTTTTGTTGAATAATTGGAAAAACGGAAACTGAAATTCAACCTGGAGGAAGTGCAAGTTTATGAGAGGACATTGAAGTATGCAAGGCTATGGACCTGGTTCTCAAAGCTGGGACTAAAAAAGACGGCTAGTTTACTCAACCAGCGCGACACAATGGATGAACAGTCTGTTTCAGTGCTGTATCATTTCTTTGGTTCTACTGGGCTTGTTTGATTCATACATAGTCAAATTGTGAAGGATTATAGAGCATAGTCACCCTGACTGTACCTGGTTGGAGTTCAAGCACAGTTCAGGGTAACAGTGAAAAATAACACCATTTGCCTGCTGAATCACTAAGAATTGGGGAGGTTATCGAACAGAGAAACCCAAGGGTTTAGCTTACAGAGTTCCTTGAAAGTGGCATCACAGGTAGACATAGTGGTGAAGAAGGCATTTGCCTTTATTGGTCACAGCATTGAGTATAGGAGTTGGGAGGTCATGTTGCAGCTGCACAGATGTTGGAAGGCCACTTTTGGAATACTGTGTGCAGTTCTGGTCGTCCTGCTCTAGGAAGGATAGTATTAAATTGGAAAGGGTGCAGAAAAGATTTACAAAGGAAGTTACCAGGTCTGGAGGGTTTGAATTATAAAGGAGAGGCTGGATAGGCTGGGATTTTTCTCCTTGGAGTGTAGGAGTTTAAGGGGTGACTTTATAGAAGTTTATAAGATCATGAGTGGCATAGATAGGATGAATAGCAAAGGTGTTTTCCCTTGGGTAGGGGAGTTCAAAACTGTAGGGCATAATTTTAAAAGTGAAGATGGGAAAGAATTAAAAGGGACATGGGGGCAACTTTTTCTACACAGAGGGTGGTTCATATGTGCAATGAACTGCCAAAGGAAGTGGTAGATGCAAAATAGAAAAAGGTTTAGAGAGACATGGGCCAAATGCAGGCAAATGGGACTAGTTTAGTTTGGGAAACCGGGTCGACATGGATGACTTGGATCGAAGGGTCTGTTTCCGTGCTGTGTGACTCTATAACTAGTCATACCAAACCACCCAATTAAATTTTATTATGGTGCTTTTTAACATTTGCAGATTTTTTAATAGTAAAGGTATCGAGGGTAATGGGATAGATGCAGGAACAGAGTTGAGGATTATCAGATCAGCCATGACCTTACTGAATGAGGGGCTGAGTGGCCTACCCTTCCTGACTTGTAATAGACATGGGAACATTGGTGGATGTAGTTTTTATGTATTTATAGAAAATATTTATAAAATTCCACCTGAAAGAATATTATCTGGAAGTAAACTTGTGGAATTGAAGAGAAGTTATCGACGAGTTTAAGAGATTCAGCAATTGAGGACAGTGTAGGGATAATAAGTAGGCACTGAAATTAGATTAAAGCGATTAGTGCTATCTCAGAAGGATCTGTGCTGGAGTATCAACTATTCATGAGTACAAAATAACCAAAATTTGTTTACATTATCGATATTGGATTAATGGGCAGTAAATACAAGAGCATAAAATAGAGACATAGGTAAACTGAATCAGCAAAGCTGTGGCTGACTGATTCCAACAGTGCAAGATCACCCATTTTGGGCAAAACAAAACATTGATGCATGTATATATGTGTTTAAAAACTGGGAACAGTAAATGTTTGAACGAATTTTGGAATCCACGTGCACGAACAAAAGAAAAATCACTAGGTGTAATCAGCACATACAATGAAACATAATCACAAAGGATTGTAGAATGTTTGTCTTTGGAATCGGAAGACAGATCATAAAGAGACAGAAATGTTGCTACTGGCTATACCATATCTGGACTAATGTCACAACTCTGGGCATTATAGCTTTAAAGGTTATATTGGTTTTGCAAGAAATGCTGTGCAGAGTTACCAGAGTGTTAACAGGACTCCAAGAATCAGGTTCTGAGGAGCAGTTACATAAACTAAGCTTACATTTGCTGAAATAGGTTAAAGGATGATTTCATTAAGCTCTTTAGGATTTGAAAATAAGTGATCAGGTGGATAACAGAAACATTTTCTAGTGCTACAGCAGTTGAGGACAAGGTAGCATTCTGTAAAATCAGAGCCAAATCATCCAGGAAAGTTGGAAAAATTTCTCCATACTAAAGATGAAGAATGGACTGCCCTAATAAAAACAATAGATGTGAACTAAAGTAATATTTTTAAAATCAGATGAACAGATGCTTGTTAGACAAGGGAATTAAGGAATATATATAGTCAAGGTGGATGAATAGAATTAGGATAAAAAGAAAATCAGCCATGATCCTATTCGTGGCAAAGACCTATGGGGGCTTCCTTAAATCATTTTCCTTCTTGGTAGAAGCAACACACTCCATGGCATTAGTTACCTATATTGTCTTGGCTTGTATTTATTGCTCAATTAACACTACAAAAATTGATTCTTATCGCTATCATATTTACTACATTACTGTAAGAGAGGGAATACACTTCAAAAGTATTTAATTTCCTGTAAAGCACTTTGGGATGTCTTGTGGTCATGAAAAACACTACAGAAGTGCAAGTCTCTCCTTTGTTTTAAAAGGCTAAAAACATTTAATACCTGTACTCTATGACATATGTTCAAATAAACCATTGGTTATTTAAAAAATCTCAATCTTTGCATGAGAGTATAAAAACTGGATTTAAAACAATAACAAGACTTAACACATAAAAGATACTCCACAAAACAGAATCCACACGAAGTTTTCTTGATTTTATCCAATCCCATGATGATTCTCTTAACATCACCACTTTTTGAGAAGAGTTCATAGATCTGTTCCTCAGTTGTATAAAACGACAAATTCCCAACATAGAGAGTGCAGCTATATCGCAGCAATTTGTCCTGCTCATATCGGCTTCCCTTAAGAATCAAGATTTGAATTTAAAGTCAGGGCAATAAAAATACACTCTGCACTATGGCGCTTCTCTATAATCTAATGATATTAAGGGAGAAATTCAACATTGCACCTCATTTTTTGGACAAATGCATTTCTGATCATAAACTGCCTGGCCTAAAGTAAACCAACTGCCAGTCTTGAATCTGGTGCCTTCTAGGTGGCAAGGTGCTCGCATGAAACATACGTAGGCACCACCTTTGTCAAATTGGATGCTAAATCATGGTGCTTTGAGGAAAGCATACATTTCCCATAAGAATCAGCATATGTTGAATTCTTCCTCTATTATCTACTAATTCTGACATTAAGTTCCCAAGTGTGGAGGAAAGAAAATAAGACGTTCAGGCTTATTACATTCAGGCCTAATAATACAGTCACTTTCCAGAGTTGATTAGCCACGTATTCAAGCTCCTATCTAGGATTTGAGTATATAATAAAATCTGACACTTCAGTCAGTACTGAGGGAGCACTGCATTGTCAGAAGTACCAACTTTCAGGTGAGATGTTAAACTGAGATACTCATGTGTTGAGATGAACATTAAAAGACCCAATGTCATTACTTGAAAAAGGAACAGTGCAGCTATTTCTCAATTAATGCCTTTAGAAATAGATTATTCTATTGCTTTTTATGGCATGTTACTATGCAAGTTTCACAAGTACACTACAAAATGAATTAAATGGCCATGAATTAGTTTGGTATATCAAATTAGAAATAGTTAATTCAGTCCCTAAGGCTTTTTCACCACGTTACCGAATTATTGCTGATCCATTCCTCAACTCAATCCACCTATTTCTGATCCATTTTCCCAGGTACAGAATCAGAGTAAAAATGTGTGGTATTCATAGACTTTCAGCCAAAGAGTTCCACATTTCCACTATCATTTTTGAAAAGCACTCGTTGGTTTGAGACCCGATTGGCCTAACTCTAAATTTAAGATATTGTTCTGAACTTCTCCAAATGAATGGAACTTCCCATTAACTTTTCAAATTCCTCCACCAGTTCATAGAATTATTACGGTGCTGAAGGACATTATTCAGCCCATTATGTCTGTACTGGCTCCTGAATAAACACCATGATTTAGTGCCATTTTCCTGTCCTCTAACCCTGTACATGAGGCAATTATTTAAATAGAAATAATGTCTTCATGAATGTTCAATTAAACCTGCATCTCCACGCAGTGCACTGCAGACCTGAATCACACCTCACCTCCTAGATTCCTTCTTATTTCTTTCCTTCTGTGTCAACCTCCGAGGTCCATTTGTGGCAATGACTTCCAAAATCTAAAATCAATGCCTGTGTACACCAATTGGTGTGTGTGGATTCTCCATGTGGCTGAATAGCTTAGAGGTAACCTTGTTAACATCATATACACTACTTCTGAAAATTACTTTAAATTTTTGCCCTGTTGCTCTTGATCTGTTTACAAGTGGGAACAGTTTCTCCTTGTCTATTCTGTTCAGACCTCTCATGATTTTGAAAGCTTCAATCAAATCTCATCTCTCCCTCCTCCTCTCTAAGGAAACCAGTCTCAACTTTTCCAATCTATTTCCATACCTGAAATGTTTCATCCCTGGAAACATTCTTGTAAACCTCTGTGTTCTGTCTAATGCCTTCATATCCTTCCTAAAGTGTGGCATGTGGAACTATACACAATAGCCCAACCAATCTAATTCATCCCACATGCAGACTTAGTATAACTTAAAACCTAGGATACTGTTAGCTTTTTTAACCATGATCTCCATTTGCCCTGTCAGATTTCTCTGCTCCTACACACATTACAGTAGTACCTTCTATTTTATATTGTTTCTCCACATCACATCAAAATGAACAGAACTGAATATCTATCACTTATTCACCCTCCACTTGTCAACGATCTTTTGAAGTTTTACATTGTCCTTAGTTTACAATGCCTCCAAGTTTAAACACCTGACTTATATCATCTCTCAACTTCAGAATTAAAAAGGAACACAAGTCAGTTTTATACCAGTCCCTAAAACAACCCTTTTAATCAGAATATCATCCTAATGAATTTGCACTGTTCCGCCACCAAGGCTTTCCTGTGTTGCTGTGCCCATCAATTGAACACAGTGCTTGATCCAGCAAAGGCACTGCACAAACAGAAATACACCTTCTACCTTTTCCAGCTCTCCTTGACAGGAAGACCAACATTCCATTAGCTATCTTTCCCCCCCACCCCACGCATCAGTTTTTAACAGCATACATGCACATCCAAATACCCTTACTCACCAGTTTCTACTTCCTTGTTTTAAAATAGTCCTGCTCATCTTTCTCAGCCCCAAAATGAGTGACCCCACATTTTCATCTCAAACTGAACTCCATAACCAGTTTTACCCACTCACGTCATATATCTTTTCCATCTTGATCTATTTCCTCTCAATCTTCAAAAACTTACTGTGCCTCATAAGTATCAAATACAAACTATTACTTTATAGAAGTCAATTTGAGGATGTAAAAGTCATTGATAGAAATCAACATTTTTCAGGAAACTGAACTGATAGGAGGCTAGACACAAGAGGAGCAGACCTCAAAAGATCGAAACAATAAAAACACAGGGAGAATCCAGGGCATCGTCCAAACTTGTTCCTGGTATCAGCACTTCGCTTTCTGTCTGGCTGTGACTATAGAGGAACCGCTTGGTTAACGGTCGTTTTATCACTGGTTATAACAGGCCTGGAAGAGACGCATTACCCGAAAGTGCTGATCCCGGTACTGGCTCAGCTCCACATGAGAATCGCTATTGAGGGCATTTAGCACAACAGACATGACGCCAAAAAGGTTGACGGAGGCAGAGAGGGAGGAAAAAACAGACAACAGCAACCGACACGCTCTGCAGGAAGCAGCACGTGACTAGAAACTCCCGTCTTGTCCGTCCACTTGAAACCGTCCGTGCTGCCGCCGCCTCCGGGCTGATCGTTCCTGAAATTATACCGGCTGATCCTGGAACCGAAACGTTAACTCTGTTTTTTCCTTCACAGGTGCTGCCAGACCTGCTAAGCTTTTCCAGCAACATCTGTTTTTGTTGGCGAGATTTACGGCCTGATTTAAAATCAAAGAAGGTGTAATGCCTCGTGTTTACGTTCCTTTACGCAGTTTCTGCAAAGACAAAATATGAGTGAAATGCAGAATATTACTTTTTCTTATATAAAAAACAAATGATCTTTCCTGCCCGCCGGACTGTAAAAGTGACGGAGCAGTGCAGCCGATCGCCGAGGTGATCGAGTCGTTTCCATGGCGATCGGATAATGGGGTCGATGGCCGAGCAGCGCGGAGGTCAGAAAGGAGGTGAGCGGGAGCGAGTAGGAGGCTGAGTGGCCGCCATGGTACTGCGAAGGCTGCTGCAGTCGGCGTTGAACAACGCGCGGCTGATCGAGAAACTGTCGGAGTCTATGCCGATGCGGCGGGCGGCCCAGATCACTGTCTATGTGATCGCACGGCTCCAGCTGAGAGGCAAGAGTGTGGTCGAGCGCCTGAGTCAATCCAACGCCCTCCGGCAGCTCCTGGAGAAGGGAGACATGCCCCGCAACCTCGAGGAGCTCAACAAGAAAGTCGCCGAGTTAAAAGACGCCATCGCGAAGGAGCTGAAGGAAAGCATAAAGGACTCTTTGAAGAAGAAAGATAAAAAATAAATTTTAAAAAAAACTGGAATCTCCATGGAGTTGATTCTCCTCACACCCCGGCATCTGCAGTAGTGACTGGAGCAAAGAGGAAGACTTTGGAAATTTATCCTATTTTAAAAGCACTGCAGTAAAATATCTGTCCTGGGGATACTGCAGCTGACATTTGGGTAAATTCCCTTTCAGTATTCATCGTGGTTGGATTCAGATGTATCGACACACTGACTTTGAAATTCTTTTGAGATTTTACGAATATTTATTGTCATCGGCACAAGATCAGAATCGTGACGCTCGGTGATTAGATTGCCAGCTTAATTATATTTCATCTGACAATTTTCCGATGTTGACCACTATTTTGCTGTAACTGTTTGAATTTCACAGTATTTAAGGTGAATCTCATTGATGACAATGTAAACTAATACTGTGCACACAATTCATCAGAAAAGTCCTGTGATAGTTCAAAGAATTAAAGAAAACATTGTTAATTGATATTTGCGTTATTGCTTGGACAAATCATTATTTTTTAATTTATAAAATGGAAATTTTGCATGGCGCTATTTATGTTTAAATATATTTTACAGTAAAGGCAATGTAGTTAACGGGAAAATAACCTCAAAGTACGCGTGTTCATGATAATGCATTGATTTAGGACATTATAGGCCTTTTTAAAACCTGAGTCCCTAGTGAGAGCGTTATTGAGAAATTAAGAACACAATCTAGAGCTTTTATTTGTTTTAACAACCTGCATTCATGTAGTACCTTAAATGTTCCACTTTGCCCCTTCAGTGCTCAGGCATAATTTGAGACTGAATCATGTGAATAAATTTTAGAAGTAATGAATCAAAAGTTTTGTCAGATTTTTAAGAGTGGAATTTAAAGTGTGCAATATGAGGTTAGAGTGGGAATTTCAGAGCTTAGACCCTTCCAAACCTGCTGAATTTTTCCAGTACTTTGATTTTATTTCAGATTTCGAGCATGCACAACAATGGTGTCTTGAGATTGTTTCCAGGTCAATTGGTTTGTCTTTTTAAATAGTCATGTATGGGAAGTGGGCGTCACTGGCTGGGCCAGCATTTACCTCCCATCCTGAGTTGTCCTTGAAAAGGTGGTAATGAGTTGCTTTCTTGAATTACTAATGGAGGTAAGGTCATTGATGAAAATGGTTGGGCCCATGACACTACCCAGAGGAATTACTGCAAAGATGTTCTGGAACATCTTCCTCCTTGGTAGGTATTACTCCAAGAAGTGAAGAGTTTTCCCTTTGATTCCTATTGACTCTTGTTTTGCTAGCACTGCTTGATATCACTATCGGTCAAATGCGGTCTTGATGTCAAGGGACTCTCACCTTGTGGGTTCACTGTTAAGAGAAATAATCTAAGTTAGAAAGACTGGTGGGGAAATAATTGCAGTGACACTACAGGGAGTAGATGTTTGGAGGTCCCTGATGTTGAATGAATGTTGTTGATGGAAGCCCCACTGCGCATCCAAGATTTGAATGAGGTGACTTTCTGTAATTCTTTTCTGCTCCTAAATTCCTTTCACTAGCTTCATAATTGTGATCTGTTGACAAACAATCCTAAAGTAGTCATTGGTTGCCCACTTAAGGGCCTTAACTGGGGTGAGGGCAGTAGGTGCACCTGAATTCTGGCTACAGGTACACCTTTTTTCTACCTAGATTGTTGTTAACAATGTGGACAATGTTTACTCTCTGGGTGTTTAGCACAGGTTCAGTGATATTTTTAACCCTGACATGACAGAAACAACTCACCATCTTGGATTCATGTCTGTGGCTGCAGAATCCCCTCTCTGCTCCCTTGACTATTGAATCTTCTATCACCGTTGTTCTTCCAGCGTTCCTCATGCCTTCTGTGCAATTGAGTCAGCCATGGTACCATTAACCTGACTGGCTACACTCCGCAGATGAACCATCACTTACATCAGTATTCAAAACTGAGTATTCATTGGATAACAAGGTGCACTCGGGGGACTCCTGCACAATCTGCCTGTTTCTACTTGACTGGCTGATGGTCATCCATTCCCTATTTCCCTGCTTATGCATAAGCTCTGAGCTGACTTCGTCTATAATAGGCTATCCATGAAGCTCTGAAATTCATATGTGCTGCAATGATACCAACCGCTGCTCAAGCTCTGAAATCTAGAGTTTGAGCTGTTGCAGCTAATGATATTTGCTGTATGTATGGTTATCCACAACAGGATTATGTTAACAGGATGTGAGGTTCAAGGGTCTGAGGTGGCCTGCGATTCTTTTATTAGAGTATAAACCTTGGATATCTAAATAAAAGACTCCACCAACTAACTTGAGTGTGGGGAAGTCAACTGAAATATTTTACTTATCCAAAATTTGTCTGAAAAAAACTGAAATTTCTACTTTCCCAGCCCAATAGACCAATTCACAAATGTTTGTAAATAGGAGAACACAGCTGCAACACTCTCAGCCTGTCTGTAAGATCACTATTTGATTCTTGTTTTCTCACTTTTTCAAACTTAAGCATGCCCAGGTCTGTTGCTGGTGTTAAATCTCTTAGTAGGTCATGGCTGACCAGCTTTATTTTTAAGTTGTGACCCATGGAATACTAGGACAAACCCTAAATGATGGCAGGACAAGTTGATAAGGTGGTTAGAAAATTGATTTCTTGGGTGTATAAATAGAGGAAAAGAAAATAAAAGAGATTATTCTAGAACTTTATAAATCAGTAGGTGGACCTCATCGAGACTATCGTGAGGCATTCTGGACAATTCACTTCAGAAAGATGTAAAGGGACTGAAAGTGTACAGGAGATATTTATTAGAATGTATCAGGGATGAGGGACTTCAGTTATGAGTGGGTTATAACAATATGGACTACTGTTGTAACAAATGTTAAGAGGTTACCTATTAGAGGTTTTAAGATGAGAGATTTTGAGAAAAGGTGAAAAAATTCCAAAATCTTTAGGAAGGTAATTTTTTTTGGGAGTTGAGATCTAAAATACTGTACTTGAAATGGCAGCTGTTTCCATTGAATAATTTTGAAAGGGCACTGGAATATTTGAGGATGATGAACTTACAGGGCTTTGGAAAAATGGTGGGATAATGTGGAACAATGCACCACTGCTCTTTCGAAGAGCCTGTACTAGGACAATGGGCCAAATGGCTTCCCTCTCTGCTGTAAGTTTCTAAAATTATTATATTAGTTACAATCTGGTGTCACCCTTCGTAGCCCCTGCACAATACTTGGGAAGGATATTATGTTAGCAGTATTGATAAGTATCTGCTTATCCAGATGGCTCATCAAATCAAGTATTGTTTAGCCAGTATAGCTTAGTTACCGTCATCCTTATGATTTAATCGAAGTTACCAACTGACCCACGTCATACCACAAGTTAATGTATCAATGTTCCAAAACCTGTGACACAAGTTATATAAGATTATGTAACAATGAAAAGACATTGGATCTACAAAATGAACACAATGTAAAGTGAAGCATCACCTGATTGGTTTAAACTATTTTTGCACTTTATTGCATACATATTAACATATGAGACTGAGATGTAAGAAACATGTTAAGATAAGTGGTTTAAAAAAAACTTTACTACTGGGTGTCTTATTATTAAATGTTATATTTCTACTAAATGCTTTGCAAGAACATTCACATTTTAAACTTCTTAATGAGAATATGACATGAATTAATTAAGTATAGAAAACTATACTGGTTTTGAACTCACATTTTCATAGAAATTCGTAGAATCCGTACAGTGTAGGCACAGGCCCTTTGGCCTAACAAGTCCACATCGACCCTCAGAGCATCTCATCCAGACCCAGACCCGGCCCCCTATAACCCACCTAATCTACACATCCCTGAGCACTATAGGCAATTTAGCATGGTCAATCCACCTACAGTGCACATCTTTGGACTGTGAGAGGAAACCAGAGCACCTGGAGAAAATTCACACAGACACAGGAAGAACGTGCAAACTCCACACTGACAGTTGCCCAAGAACCCAGGTCCCTGGCGCTGTGAGGCAGCAGTGCTAACCACTGTGCCATCATGCTGCCCCATTAAAGCAGAGGCTGCCACACCAGCTTCCAGGCAGAACACAAAGCATGCCACGCGTGGCTAGAATCCAACACGTGGTCAGTATGGGGATTGAACTGATGACCTTGGCATATCAGCAACACGCTCCAACCAGCTGAGGTAACCAACTGCCAAATCTGCTAAAATTAACAGGGGCCTCTGAAGTAAATGGATAAACTACAATTCCATTTTTAACTACTTACAGAATTTTAGTATTTGATTCGGTTCTGTAGTCAGGCCACATAACAGTTATTTGAAGCTGAGGCAGATGTGATCAGAGCACAGAGCTGAGCTTAGCAATTGCTTTAAACTTAGAAAAGTCCATCAAATTAAAATGCACCAGGTGTATTTCTGCAGGCTCCATCCCCTTTACAAGTCTTCAAGATCGCAGTGCTTTTTCAATTCTGGCCTGATTTCTCCTTCTGTTATTATTGATAATCCTCTTGCTAAGCACAGCAGGATGTTTTATTATGTTAAATGAACCATAGAAATAAAACTCATTCTTTTACTTTCATTACCCAATCTTCATTTCTATTGTGCTTGATCTATATTTCTCACCAACAAAAAGCCATAGATGGTACCTTATATAAATCACCCGGAAGACACTAATAATTTGACAGTCACCTAGAACCAGCATATCTGCAAATATAAGTATATAAATATATATCCCACACTTACAAATACATCACAGAAGAAGCTAGAACGACATCTTCAAAATATAATTATTCTGCAGTTTAAAAAAATAAAGTGTGATCTCAATGAATCTTATAACATTCTGTGTAGGCTGGACAGTGTGGATGCTTACAGATTGTTCTCCCCCTCTTTCCCCTTTACACAGAAGGTTGTGAATCTTTGGAATTCTCCAATGCATTGTGGATGCTCAGTCTTCAGTATATTCAAGGTTGAAATGGATTGGTATTTGGTGGTTAGTATTTGGTCTCTAAAGGAATGAAAGAACGTGGTCTTTAGGAAAAGTAGAACTGAGTACACAAATCAGCCATGATCTTAATTTTCTAAATCTTTGACTTTGTGTGCACCTTGAAAATGTAAAGACTCAGTTGGGTCAATCCATCGTCAGAAAGAAGAGAAGAAATATCAGGTGGATCTTCCGTAGTTAAATGAGGGAAAAACGATGCAACAGTTTTCCACTGAAAACCACAGCTTCTGATCTCATTTTGAACAGTGCCAGGTGCAATAATGTAGATATTTATTTCCTGATTATTCCCAATCTGCTTGGACAAACACATTGTTAAGTGCTTTGAGAAATTATTAAGCAGTCCATTCACTGTGCTATTGAGTATAGACAAGTCAGACCCTCCCAGGTCAATGATTCTGATAGACTCTTGATCTGATTTGATATTCAAGAGATACCTAGGAGGCATATAGGTGTGATAAAATATCAAATCGTGCTCAAACTGGTTAGCCATGGAATCATTTGAATGCAAAATATTTTCTAAATAAGACAAACAAGGTATTAAGCCACCCTGGTGAAGGCAGCCGAAAAGTATTGAAAATAAAATGTTAAACACAACAATTACACCTTTTCTCCTGAACATGTCATCATTTAAAACACTGTGTATAACAACTGGTACAATGAGTGGACTAAGAAACCGTGCCTCCTGATGACTAAACAAAGACAGGATGATCAGAGGAACAAAATAAACTAAAATTAAATACTCAGTAATTGGAGATGTAGCAGAAAACTGCATTAGTAATCTCTTTTTAAACTGCTGTTTCTTTGGGTCATGGGACCAAGCTGGGCCAACAGACTTTTGAGTAATAATTCTGATAACAGATACAACAGCTGACAAGTGAAGAGCACCGAACATTGTAAGACCATTAACAGTCAGGTGCGTAAACCAGAGGTGCCGCCCATGTACAGCAAGGTTTTCTGGATCCAAGTTATACAAAATGAAATTGAGTGGAGTTAAAACTAGATGTTTGCTTAGATTAATGATATGTTTGTGTGTAGAATTTCCATCTTCCAAAAACCAGCCAATTTCAGAGACTAACAAATCAAAATATAGTGTATCAATAACAATGAAAATGAAAGTAGTTACAATTACGGATAAAAAAATGCTAAATGATGTTTTCAGTATTGTTCTTAAGCTGAATAGAAACTTCCCTTTCTCATCATGAGAAAGCCACAACAGCATTGGTACTAAAGCGTAACCAATGAATGTGGGCCTATTAAAAAAGCCAGAGACCAAAACAACCCCAATAAGATCTTTATTGTTCCTTCTTTCCTTTTTCCTAGGGTGTGCTGCCACATTTGTTTGCTGTAGGTCCACAGCTACTAACACCAGCAATAATGCAAACAGAACTCCTTCCACAACATTTGAAAATGTCCTTGTGTAAAAAACCAACATCACATGTGACCCACTCAGCAGTGTTAAAGAATGCCAAGGGTCTGCTCCCCAGAGACAGGCTAAATGGTATACAGAGTAGTCCAGTATAAAGGACAGGCATGTCAGGTAGAATCTAGGAAAAATCAACAAATTGTTGCTGCTTAGAATACTGCCAAATAAGCCAGAATTGTGTAAAGTTTTCAGAACTATGAAGGAAAAGCCAGCTGTGGCCATTGGGAACAGGATTGATCTGCTGGGGTGGCTGGTGTTGAATTCCCAAGTACGAAAGATCTTCAAATTCAAAATGTCACCTGTGAAGAAAAGATGTGTTTAAAATGAAATACATTTTATAAAGAGGATGGTGGCACTGTCCTACACTGGGTACAGGGGAACCCCAAACAAGGTGTGTTCCCCGTTTCTACACTTCTTTAGCCTATTTAATAATATATTTAGCCTAGAAGTATCAGAAATAAGACGGATGAACTTAGAGCATGGGTGGGTAGTTGGAACTACGATGTTGTGGCCATTACAGAAACTTGAGTAACTCAGGGAGCGGAATGGCTGTTGGAAGTTCCAGGATTTAGATGCTTTAAAAGAAATAGGGAGAGTGGAAAAAGAGGCGGGGGAGTGGCATTGCTAGTAAGGGCTAGTATAGCAGCTACTGAAAGGCAGTTCAAGAATGATATGTCTACAGAGTCAGTTTGGGTTGAGGTCCAGAACAAGAAAGGAGCAGTCACTTTTTTGGGGGTTTTTTACAGACCCCCTAACAGTTGCAGAGAAGTAGAGGAGCGGATTGGGAGGCAGATACTGGAAAGGTGCAGAAGTCACAGGGTTGTAGTCACGGGTGACTTCAACTTTCCAAATATTGATTGGAAGCATTTTAGTTGTAATGGTTTAGATGGAGCGGATTTTGTCCAGTGCGTTCAGGAAGCATCCCTGACACAGTATGTAGATAGACCAACGTGAGGAGAGGCCACTTTGGATTTGGTGCTTGGCAATGAACCGGGCCAAGTGTTAGACCTGTTGGTAGGAGAGCATTTTGGCGGTAACGATCATAACTCTGTTACTTTTACAATAGCCATGGAAAAGGATAGGTACATACAGCAGGGTAAGGTTTATAACTGGGGGAAGGGTAATTACAATTCTGTTAGGCAAGAACTGGGTAACATAAATTGGGAACAGATGCTGCCAGGGAAGAGCACTATTGAAATGTGGAGATTGTTTAAGGAATGCATACTGCGCGTGCTCGATATGTTTGTCCCTAGCAGGCAGGGAAGATGCAGTCGAGTGAGGGAGCCTTGGTTCTCAAGAGAGGTCGAATGACTGGTTAAGAGGAAGAAGGATGCTTATGTAAGGTTCAGGAAACAAGGAACGGAAAAGGCTCTAGAGGGATACAAGTTATCCAGGAAGGAGCTGAAGAAAGAGCTTAGAAGAGCAATAAGGGGGCATGAGAAAACCTTGGCAGATAGGATCAAGGAAAACTCCAAGGCTTTTTACACGTACGTGAGGAATAAGAGAATGACCAGAGAAAGGGTAGGGCCGATCAAGGATTGTAAAGGGAATTTGTGCATGGAGCCTAAAGAGAGAGGAGAGGTCCTTAATGAATACTTTTCTTCGGTATTCACAACTGAGAGGGATCTAGTTGTAGAGGAGGACAGTGCGAAATAGGCTGGTAGGCTAGAGAAGGTCAATGTTAGTAAGGAAGATGTGCTAGGAATTTTGAGGAAGTTGAAGATAGAGAAGTCCCCCAGGCCTAATTTATCCAAGGATTCTATGGGAAGCGAGGGAAGAGATCGCAGGGCCTTTGGCCATGATCTTTTCGTCCTCACTGTCCACGGGTATAGTGCCGGAAGATTGGAGAGAGGCAAACGTCATTCCCTTGTTAAAAAATGGGAACAGGGATAACCCCAGAAATTACAGGCCAGTTAGTCTTACATCAGTGGTGGGCAAATTATTGGAAAGGGCTCTGAGAGATAGGATTTATGATCACTTGGAAAGGCACAATTTGATTTGTGATAGTCAGCATGGATTTGTGAGGGGTAGATCATGCCTCACAAACCTTATTGAATTCTTTGAAGAAGTGACCAAACACGTGGATGAAGGTAGAGCAGTGAATATGGATTTAAGTACAATGTTTGATAAGGTTGCCCATGGTAGGCTCATGCAGAAGGTAAGGAGGCATGGGATAGAGGGAAATGTGGCAGATTGGATTCAGAATTGGCTGACCCTTAGAAGACAAAGGGTGGTAGTGGACGGAAAATATTCAACATGGTGCTCAGTTACGAGTGGTGTACCACAAGGATCTGTCCTGGGTCCTCTTCTATTTGTGATTTTTGTAAATGATTTGGATGAAGGAGTGGAAGGGTGGGTCAGCAAGTTCACGGACGATACGAAGGTGGGTCACGTTGTGGACAGTGCGGAGGGCTGTTCTAGGTTACAAAGGGTCATTGATAGGATGCAGAGCTGGGCTGAGAAGTGGCAGATGGAGTTTAACCCTGAAAAGTGTGAGGTGATTCATTTTGGAAGGACAAACTTGAAAGCAGAATACAGGATTAACGGAAAGATTCTTGGCAGTGTGGAGGAGCAGAGGGATCGTGGGGTTCATGTTCACAGTTTCCTGAAAGCTGCCACCCAGGTGGATAGAGTTGTTAAGAAGGCTTATGGTGTGTTAGCTTTCATTAATAGAGGGACTGAGTTCAAGAGCTGTGAAGTTATGCTCCAGCTATACGAAAGCCTGTTTCGGCACATCTGGAGTATTGTGTCCAGTTCTGGTCGCCTCATTACAGGAAAGATGTGGAGGCATCGGAAAAGGTGAAGAGGAGATTTACCAGGATGTTTCCTGGAATGGAGGGAAGGTCTTACGAGGAAAGGTTGAGAGAGCTAGGGCTTTTCTCTTTAGAATGACAAAGGATGAGAGGTTACTTGATAGAGGTGTACAAAATGATCAGAGGTATAGATAGAGTGGACAGCCAGAGACTTTTTCCTAGGGTGGAGGTAGCTATTATGAGGGGGCATAGTTTTAAAGTGAGTGGAGGTAGATACAGGGGAGACGTCAGAGGTAGGCTCTTTACTCAGAGAGTGGTAGGGGTGTGGAATGCATTGCCGGAGAGGGTAATGGAGTCGGCCTCATTAGGGGCATTTAAGCGGCTATTAGATAGACACATGGATGATAGTATAAGGTAGGGGTGGAGGTTAGATAGACCTTAGGATTAGGGTAAAAGTTCGGCACAACATCGTGGACCGAAGGGCCTGTACTGTGCTGTACTGTTCTATGTTCTATGTTCTATTCAATAAAATGTCCATACTGATTGTCTTCCTTCCACCTTTCCCAATCAGTTGTGTTCTCGTGATAAAGGTGGAATGGTGTTCTTAAGTGGCTATTGACCATTCAAGAGTTTCAATGGGCCTAAGGGCAGGAGGGCTGCTTGATGTCTAACCTGCCCTTGGTAAAATGGAGGACTGATTGGGAGCATTTCAAGTAAAATATGCTTAATGGGCTGTCACAGATTGCACACAAAGACATTTATAGCAGAGGCAGAACTCACATGACTATAATAAGTAATTTAGTACACAAATTTTTCTACAAACAGTTGCTTCTTCATGAAAACACATAGAAATGGATGCAATAGCATTTGCAGTTACAAGTGACACAAGTTACCCAATATACATAATCATAAAGAAAATCAACTTTCAAAACTGTGCATTAACTCCAGTCAGTTCCACTTCTAGTTTGGGCATATCTTTTACATACAAAGTCTTTAAATCGTGCAGGTCTTCTAATGGTACAAATGTGCATATTTTTGTTGGCCATTCCTCTGGTATCTGCTTTTTCCTAAGTTCTAAGTCTTCGGAGCTTCATTCCCGTCGTAAGTGCAATTGCCATGGTAACTACTGTTGGTGAACAGTGGACATCTAAGACTGATGTTTGTTTCATATTCTGTGCAGCTGGTGAGATCACTTATTCCTGATTCAAGGAATGGTTTCTCTAGTTGCATGTAGGTGCCTGCAGTTTAATGTTCATGCATGCAATTGAGGTGACAGTTGCTCAACGCAGGTCCCAAATTGCAATGAAGGCAGACTTTTGTTGACAGTGCTTTCATCTGTACTCTGGCTATTTAGTGCTGAGTGCTGGTAATGGCTGAGGAATTTTATCAAAGTGAATGTGATTTTGTCACTTACACCTGTTACTGCTCTGGCTTCCATTGTTTTCTACACTTGGAACAGTAGTTTGGGTGCAGACTGACATTGGTTATTGGTCTTTGGACTGGACTACTTTACATACCTGAAGTAGCTGCAGCACTTCTTGAATGAATGATGATTTATTGTTACTTGTAATCTACAATGATCAACATTGTAAAATACAGTGAAAAGCTTCAACTATTGCCACAATCTGGTGCGACTGGAATATTTTAAGAATAAAAAGATAAAGCTGAAAGAAAGTCCATCTTTGTTCTGCCAACTCCACCATGAGTCCTGAGCTCTGAACTGGCTGACCAAGAGTCCCCAGCTCTGTTGCCACCGCTGCCTTGCTAATAACCAAGAAACCTTGGCTCCAGGCCTACCACAACCAGCAGCTGCTGCCACCACCACGCCAATAACCAGGAGTACCCACTCTGGGCCTATCTCAACAACGAGCTGCTGGCTCCACTGCCGCCTCCTCAACAATGCCTGGAGTTTCTACTCCAGGCCTAGCACAACCAGGAGTCCTTGACTCTGCTGAAGCTGCCACCAGCATTCCAGCTCCAGCCGTACCACAACCAGGAGTCTCTGGCTTCGTTGCCAGGCCACCACCTCGCCAAGAGTCCCGGTCCACCTGCTCTCCTCTGCAATATCATTTTCTCCATCACCGTTGACAGGAAGAAGGTAAAGATAAAGAAAAAAGACAAAAACAGTAAGGAAAGAAGGGAGGAACTGGTCGCCTGGAATGGATGGGCCCAGGAGCCCAAATGCTGCCTAGCTTGCCAACACTTCCATCTTGGAAGGTCCTTCCAAGGACTGGATTGACTGGATATACTCAATTTCTTTATGGTCCCTTTGACAAGTTTAACTGCAACTTTGGCCTTCCCATTTAATTGGGAATATTATGGAGATCATATATAATGTTGAATCTCTATCCTTTTTTGAAGCATCTGAATTCTTCACTGGTGAATTGAGGGCCATTATTACTTATCATAATGTCTGGAAAGCTGTAACAAGTTAAGTGTGCTCTCATGCATTCTAAATTTTCAATGGTAGTCGTTGGTATCAGTTGATCTAACTCCTAGTAGTCAGAATAGTAGTCAATGTTGACAAGATAATCTGTTCCTATAAAAGTGAAGAAATCTATTCTAAACTTCATCCATGGTCTGTCTGGGATGTCATGAGTCATCAACAGTTCTTTAGTTTGCTTAGCCTGATATTCATTACAAGAATTGCACTGGCTGATGTGGCCCCATAATCTCATTGCTCATATTGTTTGGCCAGTAGAGAACTTATCTGGACTTCTTCACACTAGATTCAATTCCTTGATGGCTATATCATTATGCTTTAGCATCATTTTTCTTGTGTCATCAGGGATAATAACTCTATTTCATCTGTTTAAGATGTAATCTTATGTTATCACATCATCTCTGTATGCCTATATTCCCCCAAAGTACCAGGTGAGACCTTGATGCTGTCAGGCTAAGCTCACTAATTACTGTAGCACTTGTATCTTGTGTGGTTTGCTTGATTTGAGCAAGCTGCTTGTTTCTGAGATTCAATGTCATGCTGGTTTGATGATACTTAGAATTTGCTGAGATGTTGCTACTCATTGCATCTGGAGTATATCATATTCCGTTTTTGCATCCTTAGCTTTCTTTATATAGGGGCTGCTCCTGACTGCATGACAGCAATGTCCATTTGTTTCCCTTACTTGTATCTCATACCCAGATGATACCTCTGGAAATGAAGTAACTCTCCTTGCAGACACTTTGGATCAGACAGAAGTGGTTTGAGGAAGGTGCTTTTAATTTCTTGTGATTGGACTGCACTATGACTTTGTCTCTCCCAAATGGGTCTGACTAAAATGCTCAATCTGATCATACCATCCAGCAGTTTGCATTAAAAACCTTGGTACAAATACAAATGATTTATTGTCCTTGCTGCTTAAAATTGCTGCAAGTCCTGATCCACTAGTATCACACTGCAAGATGACTTCATCAATGATATAGTAGTGCCTCAGCATTGGCATTGTTGCAACTAATTGTTTGATTATAGTGAGTGCTTCTTGTTCTGTGCCCCAATAACACAGCAGGTCCTTAGCAATGAGTTTGAAAACACTGGTGACAAACTGGGTAAGAAATTTTCTATACAGTTCAAATTAATTTCTTTCACATCTTTTGGATCAGGATCCAGCCAAAGTCCTTTTTATGTCAGTGCATGACCTATGTACTTGATTTCAGGCATGTTTAATTGCATAATTTTCTTGTTCAGCATCAGGTTCTATCCAGCTGTCACAATAGATTATGATTGTATTCAGTGATATGTTCTTTCATTGTGACTCCACATCCACAGACTACCAGGTCATCCACAATAGCTTTCTCTGGGAAGATCATTGAATATTTTGTGCTGTTTGCAGTAATGCTCTTTTGGAGTTCTGGAAATGACAGACAACATGCATAACCATTGGTATCTCCTGAACAGTGTAGAGCTAGTTAGAAAACTGTTTTCATTCAGCTTCACTTACTAGTAACTATCCTTTTGCTTGAAGGTGGTACAGACTTTTGCCATGGCAAGCTGTAGCAAAATTTCTTTAATGGTTGGCCTGAGGTAATGAGATCTGTTCAAAGCTTTATAGAGATTCCTTAGAACTATGCATACTCTGTGTCCAAATCATTTTTTACTATCACCATGCTGCTAATTTTAAGTCTGTGGTAGTGACGACTTTCATGATTGGTCATTTCTTTTTCCAGGTCTTCGACCTTGATTATCAGTCTGAATGTGAGGGTAGCTAGAAGCTTCTTCTGCAGTTGCCATGTTGGTCTCACATACTTATCTACTTCATGATGATATTTGCCATGAAGACATCCAAGACCCATAAAAATGTATTTATTATGCTGTAGGATCTCTTTGGCAGTTAATGGTTTTAAGGCCTGTGAGATTCTACGAATAAAATGTGGTATGTTTAAGGTCACTAGTTGAAATTTAGACTCATTTCAGCTGAGCTAAATGGATTTTGCTTAATATCTACTATGTGGAACTCCAGATCCTAATCCTTCCCATTGCACTGAGGTATTGACTTTGTTTATCCTCTTGGATTTGTAGAAAACAGATTTTAAAGAAGTTATCAGATTTTCTTACCTGCCATAACTTCAGGTGACTGAAAAAATTCATCAGGATGTATATAGCCAGTTTGCGGAGCCAGGCACCATAGTATCCTGAACAATGCGAGAGCCAACCATACTATCGTGAGCACCATTTTAGAAGACCCACTAGAATAGCAATAAAAATATACTTTAGTTCTTTGATGTTAAAACAGATGCATAGCGAAAGACTAACAAAACCTTAAAATATTTCATAACAAACAAATTTGATACAGGCTGTAAAATTTGTGGCACTTATTATGTTCATTTTCCAGGGCAGATGCTCCTAATTAATGCCAACTGTAAGAATGAATCATGAATATGTCTTCTTGGAAGCATTAACAAGTTAACAAAGTGCAATTTAATACTGTAATGAATTATTGATTATGGAAAACAAAACAGTTAATATACTAATTATACTGTATGTACGAGTTTTACTAATGTCATTGCATAAAGTCTTAATTTCCTCCCAAATTTTGAAACTGTAATATATATTTCCTTTCCACAAAGATCTATAGATTGAATTAAATTACATATGTTGAACCTGTTAAACTTGTACACATTATAGTGTTTATTGCTCAAGTCTGGAAAAGATATATCACATAAACGTGTATACCAGGATAGTGAAAAAGTAGTGATTGAAAAGCAGCCAACAGAGTAATGATTTTTTTTGGCTAGAATAATGTAAACAGTACTAGGCTAGGCAGGTAGTGTTTGGCCAACTATTGTTCTCATACATAAGTATATATATAAAAGAGACTTGAGTTTGTTAAAATTTGTAAGTGACATGAAAACAGGGAGTATGGCTAGTGGACATTTGATTATCAACAACATATTAAGGTTTTTACAAAAATATAATAGAATAAGTAGTATGTGTTCATAATTTAAAAGAACAAAGCGAGCATTTCATTACTTTCAACATCTTTGAGCAATTCACATGATCAGTGAACAGGCAGTACATAAGTCCTTAACATGACAATGCATGACATCATTTTGCTTGGCTAAACATTGCAACTGCAACGAGTTACAACATTTGATCCAAGCAAGGTTTTGGTAGAATTTCATTTTTTGTTAATTAAACTTTTTGTAAATTAAGCCATTCACACCATTTTTTAGATATTTGACATGCTTAAAATTAGAAACACAAGTAGTTTACTACTTTCTAAATTTGATCAGAAAGAAAGGTTTGATTAATCAAGGTTGACAGCTGCACCAGAGTCTTTGATCCTTAGTTTGCAAACCCAGGAACTGGTCAGTTACCACTGTAATTGTAGGAGATTATTACATAATTCGCTTAATATTCTGAAGTGATGTGAAAGATTCTATGGTGCCCTTTATGTTTTTTTGCTTCTCTATGCTTAGACTTCTCTTCCCCAACATGCGGTTTTTCACTGTCCTTTGCGTCTTCTGTCCCATGAGCGGTCACTCATTACACTTTTGCCTACTTGACCAACATCCCATCTTCAAAACCAAAGTCGTTGTCCATCCCTTGCCAGATTGCCTATCCTAGCCACCAGCTTAAATCACTCCTTAGCTACTACGTTATACTGAACTAGGCTGTTCGTAACACTGGTGTCCTAGTTTGCTCTGAGCTGAGCCTCTGGCTCCACAGATTCCATATCACAAAGATTCACTACTTCCTCCTCTGAAATATCTCCTGTCTCCATTCAGTTGTTGTTGGCAATCATCCATGTTTGTGTTACCTAGAGTTTAATGATTCTGCTAATTTCCTGGGCAGTCATCCATCTTCCACTGTCCATTAACTTCAAATCCAAAACTCTTCTCCCTGTACCTTGATTTGCCAATCGCCACTATTCCAGTGCTTGATGAACCAACACTGACTCCAGTCTCGCAATGTCTGTGTATAAACAAGGTCAGATGTCAAACAACACCAGGCTGTAGTCCAACAGGTTTATTTGAAATCACAAGCTTTCGGAGAACTGCTCCTTCGTCTGGTGAAGTGGAGGGAAGCACACATTCGTGAATTCTGTGCCTGTGTGCTTCTTTCTACTTCACCTGATAAAGAAGCAGTGCTCCAAAAGCTTGTGATTTCAAATAAACCTGTTGGACTATAGCCTGTTATCATGTGACTTCTGATCTTGCCCACCCCCACATTTATTTAAACAAAATCTCATTGTAGTTTTCAAGTCCTTCTGTGACCATTTCCGAGCCTAATTCTGTAATCCAGCCCCGAACTTATAACCAGCTGAGAAACTCAATTCTTCTCACCCAAGCTTCTTGTACATTACTCACTGCCTACAGTCTACCCAAAGATGGTGAAGTCATAAGTCCTCCAAGCATTACACTCTGGAATTTGCTCCCTAACACTCTGTCTCCTACTGTAATTTACTCCTTAGAACTAACATTTCACCAACTTTTTCGTTACTTTTGCTGATGCCACCTCCATTGACTTGCTGCCTATTTCACTTTGAGGCATTCATATATTAACATGAGTTCAAGCTGCTGCTGCGTTACTGTGGGATTGGTGCTGTTGGTTCCCACAAATTCCTTGAACTTTCCAACATCTCAAGGAGAGCAAGTGTAGAACTGTTTGCCTATGACACCAAAATTGGAGGTACAGTGGACAATGAAGAAGGTTATCTAAGATTATAAAGAGACCTTGATCAGTTTGGTCACAGGCTGAAGAGTGGCAGATGGAGTTTAATTTGGATAGATACGAGGTATTGCATTTTGGTAAAACAAACAAGGGCAGGACTTACACAATTAATGGTAGGGCCCTGGGTAATGCTGTAGAACATAGACCCAGGGGTTCAGGTACATGACTCTTTGAAATTTGCGTTACAGTGGACAGGGTGGTTAAGAAGGTGTTTTAGCAAGCTTGCCTTCATTGCTCAGACCTTTGAATATAGGAGTTGGGATGTCATGTTGAGTTTGTACAGGATGTTAGTGAGGTCTTTTCTAGAGTACTGTGTGCAGTTCTGGTTGCCCTGGTATAGGAAGGCTATTATTAAACTGGAGACGATTCAGAAAAGATTTACCAGGACGTTGTCAGGAATGGAGGGTTTGAGTTATAAAAATAGGCTGGATAGTCTGGGACTTTTTTCACTGGAGCATAGGATTTTGAGGGGTAACCTTACTGGGGTTTATAAAATCACGAGGGGCATATATAAGGTAAATAGCAAAGGTCTTTTCCCTAAGGTGGAGGAGTTTCCAGGGGCATATTTTTAAGGTGAGAGGAGAACAATTTAAATAGGTCATGGGGCTACCTTTTTTAGGCATTTGTTAGTGTGTGGAATGAACTGCCAGAGGAAGTGGTGGATGCAGGTACAGTTACAATGTTTAAAAGACATTTGGATAAATACGAATCAGAAAGATTTGGAGGGATATGAGCCAAACTCAGGCAGGTGAGACTAGTTTGGTTTGGGAACTAGTTTGGGCACTACAGTGCGGACTAGTTGGACCAAAGGGTCTCTTTCCAATCTTTATGACTCTATGACTGTGTGAACCATTGTTAATTACATAATTGCTTGACACAAAAATGATCCAACAACTGAAATAAACATAGCACTCTAGCTATGAATGACCAATATGAAATGCAGGCAGTAAATACAGCTTACATGTCATCAGAGTTGTCAACTTGCACAGCCTTTGCAGCAGATTAGAGGTATTTAAAGGTCTGTTATATGCACAGGAAAAGTATATTTACATGATTACTTCAGGTAGTTGTGAAGCACTACAGTGATGGCTGAATGTTTTCAGTCTTCACTAAGATGGAGACTGTGGTCATTTCATTGGTGAGGATCACAGCTTGAATGTTATCTTGCAGTAGACAGAAGATGATGCCAATTATTTCTGACAGCCAAATTAGAGGAGAATAGTCCAGAAGCCTGCACATTTAAATTCAATTCAATTCAAATTCAAAGGCTTCATGAGGTCAAAAAAGACATGCACAATGCTAGGTATTTGCTGTTCCTTTCACTTTCATTGGATTTGCCACATGTAAAGATCATGTATGTGGGGCCGCCTGATGGACAGAAACAGCACTGCAACTCTAAATAAAGCTGTGGTCATTGGGAGGAGGCATTTGAGAAGGAAGGATCCTTGCACTCAACATGTATTACATGTATACTGTGCGGTATGTGACAGAGATGTAACTTCAACCATAAAGTTATTGAAAATCATCATTGCTGATAGAAAGGTACTTACAGAAATGAAAGTCCTTACTGAAGGTGGTGAGCCACCTTCTTTAGCTGTTGCAGTCCATTGTGCAGGTACGGTCAGAGAGGGATTTCTAGTATTTTGACTTGTGACAGTGAAATAAGTGATAACTCTTTTAAATCAAAGTTTTATGTGGTTTAGGCAGGTACTTGGAGGTGGTGGTGTTTCTATGAGTATACCAGCCCTCTTCTGGTTGTAGAGGATGCAGGTTTGAAAGACTTAAAATTAAAGGGGTCTAAATAAGTTATTGTAATGCATAAGTGCACACTGCTGGCACTGTCCACAATTGTACACAGAAGGGCCCTGATCTTACAAGCCAGTTAATTTTCTGGTCAACAGTAACCCCCAGGATGTTTATTCTGAGGGAATTCAATGATGACATTAATACTAAATGTCAAAGGTAGACGGTTCTTTCTTAATAAAAGTGGTTACTGCCTGGTATTATGACAAGCCCAAGCTTGAATATCAGCCAGGACTTTCTGAATGTGAGCATAGACAATATCAGTGCCTGGGGTGCTACAAATTGTATTGGACACTGTGCCATCATCAGCAAACGTTCCCAAACCTGACCTTATGATGAAGGGAACACCATAGGAAATGGCTGGCCTCCAAAAATCACAAAGACAGTTGTGAAAAATGATCTAGGCTTGGATTATGTAGACTCCATATCGGTAGAAGTTTTAAAAAAAATACCAAACGAAAGAAGGAGTAATGTACAGACCCCCAACTGTCACTCTGCAGGAAAGGCTATAAATCAAAAAAAAAAGAGGAACATATAAAAATAAACAGTAGAAATTTATGGGTGACTTTAATCTTCATGTTGAGTTCATTAATCAAATTGAAAAGGGTAGCTTTTGACAACAAATTCATGGAGTGCATTAGGGATAGTTTCCTAGAGCAATATGTTATCGATCCAACCAGGGAGCAGGCTATCTTGGATCTGGTAATGGGTAATAAGGCAAGTTTAATAAATGACTTCAGAGTAAAAGATCCCTTTTGAAAGTAGTGATATTAGCATGATAGAATTTAATATTCAATTCATTGAAAACAACTGTGTTTAACTTAAATAAAGGGAACTGCAATGAAAAGACATTAGTGTTAGTTAAGGTGAACTGGGCAGATAGATTAGCGGGAATGAGAGAAAGCAAACAGTGGCAGACATTTAAGGAGGTAATTCATGACTCTCTGGAAAGATTCTACGAGAGGGATAAATCAACCATTGCTAACCAAGGAAGTTAAGGAGAGTATTAAGTTGAAAGAAAAAGCATATATGGAAGCCAAAGTCAGTGATAGCCCCGAAGACTGAAATAAATTCAGAATCCAGCAAGGGGGGAATAAAAAGAATATAAAGACAGAGAAAATAAACTGAGGGCAAACTATTGAGTAACATAAAAACTGACAACAAGAGCTTCTTTAAATGTATAAAAAGAATTACAGAAGCCAGAGTGAACATTGAGCCCTTAGAAAATGAATCTGGGGAACAGTTTGAGAACAAGGAAATGGTACAGAGTTAAATCAGTCTTTATGATGAGAGATATTTGGAATATTCCATTAATACTAAAGATACAGGGGGATGAATTAAGTATCATCACATTACTAAAGTAATAGTACTAGACAAACTAACAGGGCTAAAGGGAGATAAGTCCCCTGGTCCTGATGGCTTACATCCTAGGATCCTAAAAGGGGTAACTACAAAAATTGTGAATGCTTTGGTTGTAATTTTCAAACATTGTTGGATTGGAAAACTGCTAATGTGACACCCCTATCCAAAAAGGAAGGGAGGCAAAAAGCAGGTAACTATAGGCAATCAGTCATTAAGGAAGTAATAGCAGAACAGTTGGGAAATCATAACAACCGAAAGAACTGTGGATGCTGTAAGTCAGGAACAAAAATAGAAGTTGCTGGAAAACTTCAGCAGCTCTGGCAACATCTGTGAAGAAAAAATCAGAATTAATGTTTCAGGTCCGGTGACCCTTCCTGAGAACTCCGAGAAAGGGTCACTGGGCCTGAGCTTTTTCAGCAACTTCTGTTTTTGTTCCTGATTTACAGCATCTGCAGTTCTTTTGGCTTTTACCACAGGATTTTGGTTTATCTGGGACTAGGTAAATCATATTCCATGAGCATAATGTCTCATGAATTCCATATTCAGTACTTTTTGTTTCTCTTGTACCTCTTAATTTACCTCTATTCCTTTAATGGAAACAAAGGCAGAAATTGCCGGCTAAATGTTCTGAGGAAGGTTACCAGCCCGAAACATTAACTCTGATTTTTTCTTCACAGTTGTTGCCAGACCTGCTGAACTTTTCCGGCAACTTCTATTTTTGTTCCTGAGTTGGCAAAACATAACCTAAGCAGAGTCAGCATGGCTTCATGAAGGAGAAATCATGTCAGACTAATTTAATAGTGTTTTTCACAGAAGTGTAAAGTGCTGCATTTTGGAAAAGCAAATCAGGGCAGGACTTATACACTTAATGGTAAGGTCCTGGGGAGTGTTGCTGAACAAAGAGACTTTGGAGTGCAGCTTCATAGTACCTTGAAAGTGGAGTCACAGGTAGATAGGGTAGTGAAGAAAGCATTTGGTATGCTTGCCATTATTTGTCAGTGCATTGAGTGTAGAAGTTGGGAGGTCATGTTGCGGCTGTACAGGTCATTGATTAGGCTGCTTTTGTATTACTGTATTCAATTTTGGTCTCCCTGCTAGAGGAAAGATGTTGTGAAACTTGAAAGGGTTCAGAAAGGATTTACGAGGATATTGCCAGGGTTGGAGAGTTTGAGCTGTAGGAAGAAGGTGAATAGACTGGCGCTATTTACCCTGGAACGTCGGAGGCTGACTGGTGACCTTATAGAGGTTTAATAAATCAAGAGGGGCATGGATAGGGTAAATAGACAAGGTCTTTTCCCTGGAGTGGGGGAGTCCACAACTAGAGGGCATAGGCATAAGGTGAGAGGGGAAAGATTTAAAATGGACCTAGTGGGCAACTTTTCACGCAGAGGGTGGTGTGTGTATGGAATGAGCTACCAGAGGAAGTAGTGGAGGCTGTTACAATTACAACATTTAAAAGGCATCTGGATGGGTAATAAATAGGAAGGGTTTAGAGGAACGTGGGCCAAATACTGGCAAAGGGGACTTGGATTTATTTAGGATATCTGGTTGGCATGGACAATTTGGACCAAAGGATCCATTTCTGGGCTCTATATCTCTATGAATCTAAGTGTCAGAGTGGATAGAGGGGAAACCAGGAGATGTGTTGTATTTAGGCTTTCAGAAGTCATTCAACATTTATGGGCAGGAAACAGCAAGTGGAGATAAGGAATTTGTTCTCAGATTGGCGAACATGACCAACATGTGCCACAGGGATCAGTGCTGGGACCACAATATATTATAACTTGGAGGCATAAAGTGAATGTACCGTAGCCAAATTTGCAGACTTCACAAAAACAGGTGGAAAGGCAGATTGTGAGTAGGATGCAAATAATTTACAGACAGATATTGATAGGTTAAGTGGGCAAAAGTTGGTGAATGGATTATAGGAAATTGTTTATTTTGAAGGAAGAACAAAAGAACATAAAATTATTTAAATGGAGTAAGACTGGAAAACAAAGGAACTTGAAGGTACTTGTGCACAAAACAGACTGCTAGCACACAGGTAATCAGGAATGAAGGGTCTAGGCCCGAAACGTCAGCCTTCCTGCTCCTATGATGCTGCTTGGCCTGTTCATCCAGCTCTACACCTTGTTATCTCTAATAGAATGTTGGTCTTTATTTCAAGGGGGTTGCAGCAAAAGATTAGAAATTTCTTACTGGATCTGTACAAGGTGCTGTTCAGACAACATCTGGACTACTGTGAGCAGTTTTGGTCTCCTTTATTTAAGGAAAAATGCCCTTTCATTGGAGAAGTCACACTGGGATGATCCCTGGTATGGAGGGGCTGCGTTATGAGTAAAGGACAAACAAGTTGGGGCTCTACTTACTGGACTTTAGAGCAATGTGAGGTGATCTCGTTGAAATACGTAGGATTAGTAAGGAGCTTGACGGAGTAAATGTTAAGAGGATCAAAAACAAAGTTGCTGGAAAAGCTCAACAGGTCTGGCAGCATCTGTGGAGGAGAAAACAGAGTTAACGTTTCGGGTCCGGTGACCCTTCCTCAGAACGTTTAATGTTAAGAGGATGTTTCCCCTCATGGAGGGGTCTAAGACCAGCGAGTATGGTGACATAAAAAAGGGGCACCAAATTAAGACTGAGACGAGCAGGAATTTCTTCTCTCAGAGGGTTGAGAGTCTTCCAAACTCCTTACCACAAAGCTTTGGACATCCCTAAAAGAAGCGAGAATATCATAAGTACAATGAAAACAAATACCCGTGCACATGAACGCAGACTGAAACCGCGGTGTATTCTGGGAATTGTAGTCCAGGCCCACTTTTTGAACGCGTCAGACAACCCCAGGGAGTTCACCTCCACGACAGCTGCAGGCCGCGGCCTCCAGCATGGCACGATTTATGGTTCAATTCCGTCATGTGCCGCTCGGGCAGGTTGGTATTACCACAATGGAGAGAGAGACTGTGTGTTTCTGGTAAAGAGTCCGAGATGTTTATTATTTGAATAATTCTTTGAATCCCTCCAACCTACCCCGGTAACTGTTGAGAAATACCAGTTTTCGGATCGGTCACACCGTATATTTTTTTTAAAAACCTGTTGCAGAAAATACACTCCAGCCGCCAATTCAATCCGCATTCAAGTACCGCGCGCTCAACGGCCGCCTGGTAATTGCCTGGATTTGATTGGAAAGGCAGGCAGCCAAATGACGGCGGGTCAAACACGAAGTTAAAGGCAAAGCCCAGCCGTTTTTAAAGTGGCACAGTGTCCTCCTACAATAAATCGATGAACCCTTTTAAACCATTACTGAAGACTAGGGCATACACTGTATACATCCTTTAAAAACAAAACACGGTGAATGCTGTAAATCTGAAACAAAAACAAAGTTCCACAGAAATTCAGCAAAACGGGCAGCATCTGTGGAGAGAGAAACACAGTTAACATTTTGAGTCCAAAGACTTCTTTAGACCTGAAGAATATTATGAATCTATTATATCTTCTAATTTTCAGAAGGTCAAAGCAATCACTTTTACACTTAAATGCTGAAGCTTCAAGCATATCTCTTTAATATCCTTATGTGGCTGCTGTATTGATTTCAGGTGTGTAGAGATTTTTTTCTTGTTAGCTGTCAGCCAGTGGTGCTCTTTGAGGAGGATGTTTTCCGTGTGGACGTAAGGATGTTAAAAATGTTAGCTACGCAAACTGCATTTGTCTCAACATCCGAGAAGTAACCCTCATGTCTTCGTAGAGATAGATGTCCAACATGTTTGTGTAGTGGCTCCTGAGCCAGTCTGAACAGCAGTACCCTGCTGAAGGGTAGACCACGGTGAGTGAAGCAGTCTATATTGTGTATTAGCTTTGCCACCCCATGTGATACCTACCAGTTCCCACAGCTGGAAATGGAATGGAAATATACAACGCACAATCTGGAAACATTGCCTTTTAGTGTCAAGAAAACTGTTCGCAAACTAAAACTTTGGATATTCAATGCAATTCAGATGTGAAAACATTTTTCTTCATTCTTTGCCAGCACAGTACAATTATTATTTCGAAAAGATTACAAATACGCTTGGGTTAATGGTCTTCAGTGATTTATTCAGATTGATTGATTGCTGCATTCAAAACAGCAGTTCTGCAACAACCACTGAATGTCAAGGGCTGGTGTTTAGATTGTCTCTTATTGTCTTTGCCAGGGATTCATGCACTGCAAATATTATTTGCCACTTGTCAGTCCAATCTAGATATGGTGCAGATCTTGTTGCATTTGAACATGGACTGCTTCAGTATTTGAGGAGTCACGAATGGTGCAATCATCAGTGAACATCCCTGCTTCTGACCTTATGACGGACGGAACGTCATTGATGAAACAGCTGAAGACACTTAGCTAATTCAGGGTAGCACACTACCCTGAGGAACACCTGGAGCTGAGATGACTGGCCTCCTGCAACCACAACCACCTTTCTATGGTATGACTAACCAGCAGGCAGTTCTCCCCTGATGCCCACTGATTCCAGTTTGGCTAGGGCTCCTTGAATGCACACTTGGTTAAAGGCAGCCATGATGTCAAGGGTTGTCACTCTCACCTCACCTCTGGAATTCAGCTCTTTTTTGTCCTGAAGTCAGGAGCTGTGTGGCCCTGGGAGAACCCAAACTATGTATCACTGAGCAGGTTATTGCTGAGCAGATGCTGCTTGACAGCATTGTTGGTGACACTTTCTATTCGATCACTGATCGAGACTAGACTGATGGAGCAGTAATTGGCCAGGTTGGATTTGTTTTGCTTTTTGTGTACAGGACATACATGGGCAATTTCCCACATAGTCAGGTAGATGCCAGTATTGTAGCTGTATTGGAAGAGCTTAGCTAGGGGAGCAGCAAGTTCTGGACCACAAGTCTTCTGTACTATTGCCGGAATGTTGTCAGGGCCCATTGCCTTTGTAGTATCCAGTGCCTCCAAACGTTTCTTGACGTCACATGGAGTGAATCAAACTAGTTGAAAACTGGTATCTGTGATGGTGGGGACCACTGGAGGAGGCCGAGATGGATCATCCACTCGGTCCTTCTGACTGAAAATTGTTGCAAATGCTTCAGCTTAATCTTTTCCACTGTGCTGTGCTCTTCCATCATTGAGGATGGGGATGTTTGTGGAGCCTCCCACTCCAGTGAGTTGTTTAATTATCCACCACTATTCACAACTGGATGTGGCAGGACTGCAGAGTTTAGATCTGATGTTAGTTTTGGGATCACTTAGCTCTTTCTATCACATGCTGCTTATGCTGTTTAGCATGCAAGTAGTCCTGTTTAATAGCGTCATCAGGTTGAAACCTCATTTTTAGGTATGCCTGTTGCTGCTCCTGGCATGCTTACTTGCACTCTCCATTGAATTAGGGGTTGGTCTCCTGGCTTGATGGTAATGGTTGACAATGTAATTAAATTATACCAAGTAATGGTAAATCAGAAATATTTACGAAAAATGAACAGATGCACAATCCATGACAGCAGCAGCAAATTCACTGTGTATATTTAAAACCATCAGAAATTCCACAACCAAAGTTTATCAAGACAGAATGAAATTAAAATGAGTGAAAAGAGGATGAGAGAATCTATTACTGGTCTCTTTAAGGCCGATGAAGCTAAAATTTAATTGCTTTTTAAAGATGCATTTCTGCAACTTACTGTAATAAGCTCTAGTGAAGGAAGGTAAACCAATTCTCTTTACCTTTTGAATTAAATCACTGACTTTATTTCTTTCTTGAGAGACCATTATGTGCCCTTTGATTATTTTAAGTATACACAATGGGTTTGGTGCAGTCTTTTGTAGCTGCTGAGTTATGTTATGTGAACCCATGCTGAAGGTGCCTCATGCTTTGGTTCAATCACATATTGAGTACTGCCTTTAGTGCTTATCACTGAGGCACAGTAAATCATCCCAAGACCTGCAAAAATCACTGAAAAGGATCACTGTGCCAATCCCTAGTGACAGTTTATTGAATTATGAGAAAAGTTATAACATTGAACTTTTCAATCCTTAAAAAGAAAAGTTTGATGGAAGCTTCTCAAGGTATGTAAAATTCAAAGGACTAATTCTGAACATGTCTGCAAATTAGGCAGCTTAGGACAAAAGCACATTGGCATACACTAAGGAAAAGACTTCAGGCCCTTATTCTCAAACACTGAAATCATTAAAAATATACCTTGTTCATTTTTAAACTTGTATAACTCCTGTGTATTCGTTACTGCTTTCTCATTCACCCGCAATAAATTCCCACTTATTCAAAGCTCTGTGGCATACAATCAATTCCACATTAAATTCAACTTTCCCATCATCCCTGTCCTTGTTCATTTACAATTCCTCCATTCCATATCATTGTTAAAAAACTCTCCATAAATGTGCTGCACCCTATCTTTGCAATCTCCTTCATCATTATAAATACCTAAATAATCCTCCATGGTATTTTGTGTATCACCTATCCTCCACTGCCTCAAATACTATGCTTTTACCTCCTTAATGCATCCCACCCCTGGAAACTTAAACTTATCCTCTCAATCTCTCCCTTTCAGCTCTAAAACCTGAACACCTTTCTATACATACTTTTGGTCCCCTCTCTGGAACTGTCCCTTTCCAATACAATATATATATATTTTTTCACATCTATCTGTGAAGTATCTTGTAAAGACTTCGACTTAGGTATGTATGGCACAATTTTAAAATGTTTGGATGACACAGAAGTAATGGTAAACCGATTCTAGTGAATTAAATCACCGACTTTCTTTCTTGAGATACCATTATGTGCCCTCTGATTATTTTAAGTATACACGATGAGTTTGGTGCAGTCTTTTGTAGCTGCTGAGTTATATTATGTGAACACATCATACTGGAGCTCCTTAATGCTTTCATTTCATGCTTTGGAAATATTAGGAACTGCGAGAAGAATAGTGCGAAACTTCAAAAAGGATAGCCAGGCTGCTGGAATTAGCAGACAGCTGGCAGATGAATTTTAAGTGTAAGTAATTCATTTTGGCATGCAGAAGGGGGATAGATTTTTTTTTTAAATTCTAAAAGGAATACAGAAGCAGAGGGACCTGAAGCATGTGCGCAATTCATAATGATTATACGACATTAACAAAGTAGTTAAAAATACACAATTCTGGGCTTTATAAATCAATGGTACAAATCAAATAAATTATTATAGATCTGTCTAAAACTGGTTCAGCTTCAGAGTATTATGGCTTGCAAAGACCTCCATGAGGGTTGCACTTGCTTGCTGTCCACACATTATGACAAACTTTTACGAGTGTCTGGTTTATCTCCTTTGTAAGTGAGAGTCCACAACTTTGGGGAGAGGCTGAGACCTAGGGCCAAGGTGCATCTGTGAGAGCCATCTTAATGGCCACACGTAATGCTGGGTCAGTCAGATGGAGGTCTTGTTGCAGGCAGCTGCAGATGTTTGCAATGCCTTGCTGTGAAAATATGATCCTCCTGAGATTCTGGTGCTCACAAATGTTGAGAGACCTGATCTTCTGTCTGTGTTTAGGGTCTCACCTCCTTAAAGCTGATCTCTATCCATCTCCTCTGTCTTTTGCAGAGGCATGTATTCTTGTTGGTGTTGCTGCTCTTTGTCAGATTTATAAGGTAGAACTGCATAGTCGCTCCATACTGTGGTGAAGGTTGGCATTAAGGAAGAGCAGCTAAAGGTGAGTGAAGGGCAAGACAAGTGAACTAACTTGTAAGTACATGAAAGTTCTTTCTGTGGGAAGCGGTGCATTGAGCAGTAGACTTTCACCTTTCCAGGCTGGTATTCTTCAGCTTCACACATCAAAGGCTTCTCAGCCAATCAGTGGAAGGGCAAGGTGGAGGATTCCCTATATGTCATCAAATCCACCTGGGTGTAAACTGGAAAAGAGCAGGGTGATGTTAGGAATATTACTTTTAGGGGATTTAATTCTTTGGATCCACCCAAAGCCATCACCCTTTGCTTGTAAAGTCTGGCCAGTTCCTCTTAAACACCAACGTGTTTTAAACTGCTAAGTGTTCAACGTCTCTCAATCCAAGTGAATGGATGTCGTAAATTTTACAAAAAAAAGTTCTTTATTCAAAAAAAAGTCATGTACAAAGAATAATCCAGTAGGTAATATTATGAGTTCAAAGAAGCT